AAGCTCGTAAAAGTATCTTTTTAGCTAGTTGTGCCAAACACCCGCCTGAAATACGGAAGTAACCAGCGTCCCTCGATAGTTTTGGGACACACACGCAATGATTTCAGCAGTGATGTCAGGATGATGTCGACAATGGTTTTAGCCCATTGGAACTGGGTCATAATGTCAACAATGGGCCCGACCCACTGAGTGAGTAATTTGGGCCCGACCCACTGAGTGAGTAATTTGGGCCCTGATTTTGGATCGTTAGTCACTCGACCATTGAAGTATGTGGCAACATACTACATCACATAAATTTGGAAGTAATATATCTAGTCTTATTGCATTATGAATATTGTCTATAATCTATATTGCAGCATGATTCCAAACTAACAATGCAAATTCATTTAATTTAATGCCAATGACAAAATCAAACACTAGGTATATATGAAGAAGTGTCAACTAAGAAATCATCAATATGTAAAAATAAGTTTATAATACTTTCCTTACATCCGGAAAAGTCTATTAAGTTAAAAAAAAATTAGGAAATATAATAGTAAAATTAATTAGATTTTTTCTGTTAATAATTTAGCTCTTAAAAAAATTTAACCATATATTTTCATCAAGATCCGACATATCTGCATGTGGATGAATATATAATATTAAAGATGATTAAAACAAGACTCGTTTTTATCTTAATGTTTCAAAATAAGATAGCAATGTCAGTTATTCATATTTCAATTTCATTTTATTATATTAAGTAAAGTATAATGTATTTTCCATATTAAATTTCATGACTAATTTACATTCAATTTCACATTTACTCAAGTTTTGACATTATTGCTATATCAAAAATTTGAACCGTATTTAAGTTTTATTCTTTTAACTAGCCACATTCCTATAAATCTGGATGGATCACGCCAACTTTCACTGATTTTTGGAAAATTCGTGAGTTTTGGCATAAAAAAGCATTATAAAAGGTTTTAAATTACAGGAAATATGTTGCCAAAAACAAAAATTACGGGAACTATAGTCTATAGAAACTTTTGACGGATACAGATTGAAACAAGATAATTAAGACATTAAGACGTGTTCAGTGGCGGATCCAGAAAGTCGGAGCCACGGGGTCCTTACCCTTTTATATCTCTAATCTCTAATTAATATAAAACTAATAAAAAAAATATTAAAGAAGTATGACACTTCATACGTACTTAACGTACACCATCAAAAGATTAAGGTATTATAAACCAAAAAATTACATATAAAAATCATTCAACCATTCTATAGATGTACCCTTCTAAGATTCATTTGTTGGAAATATTCTATAATAGAATCATCACTAATAGTTTTGGTCTATTTAATTAAAATGGGCCAAAACGACGTAGTTTTGATCTATTTAATTAAAATAGTTTTGGAAACAAAAAGTACGTAGCCTAGGGGGATTCGAACATGGCACCTCCCGCAACATAGAAACCTAAATCTCGTTTTTGCTCCTGTTCCACTACTACATTCTTCTGGTTCCTAGGTTGTTTTGTATGTGAATATACACTTACTAATTAATTTTATATAATATATATATAATATATAGGTATTTTTTCGAGGTGCACGGGTTCCCGGGACCCGTGGGACCCTTATTGGGTCCGCCTCTGGACGTGCTTATACATGTTTGAATGTTTGTTAATCGTATGTATTTGTTCAAACAAATAAAAACACATCCTTCGTTCCATACAAAATACAAAATAAAATAGGTTTGACATCGAAAATTTGGGGTTTTTTAAAATGAAAAATGCCAAACTATATTAATTTAACCATCGGTGAATTTACACTTACAAATCACTCAATAATTTAAAATCCAACTATTTTCTGACAGACTCCGTCTAAACTCAATAAATACGATCAGATTCTGAGACGACCACCTCCATAGAAGCAGCGTGAATCGCTGACCACCAAACGGACAATTCAACATAGAGTTCTTCCTGACCCTTAAGGTCACCACACTTTTTACCACATCAACAAACTCAAAATAGCCGAAAAGTCCCCTCATTCCCCGATTAGAGATAAAGAAGTTCGTCCTGAATAGAGTGAAACTTTTCACTAAACATACGAAAGTTTCAAGACAAATAACGACCACAAGAACCTTGTTGAAGTATTTATCCCACACCGGAAAGGTTTAAAACAATAAAACACTATATAAGACTTTGAGTTACTCCTTCTATCAGATTGACCTTTTAGGATGGAACACCGGGTCTTAACACACCTCAGAAAAATCACTAACACAAACAAACAAAAAAAACAAAATAAAAATCTTGCTAACAGTGCATTAATTTGATTTACTACATAATAAAGCCGTGCTTGGATTACCCTAAAAGTAAAAGTAGAATCATAAGGTTGTCTCCTCCAACTTCTCAAAAATTGTTTTTTGGAGCAATTTGGAGTACTCCTCGATTTTTATCCAAACAGTACTCGAGTATCTATTTTAGAAACATATCCAAACACCCCAAAAAACGCCATGATATTTTATGAATGCATCCCCGGGTTTTTTAATTTGTGCATTCACTTCATATAACATAGTGGATTTTTGAAAAAATGTAAATAAACAGTGCTTTGTATTAGGGCTGAGCACGGATATGGGATTTTCTGTTCCGTACTAAGAACCGTCCTGAACTGTTCCAGAACTGAACGAACTGGGAAAATATAATATTGTATCGTACCGTAATGTACCGTAACGTACCGAATTTTTTTAATAATATGGTACAGTATCGGTTCCTAAGCGAAAACCGCCCCAGAACCGTCTCGGAACCGTATTGAACCGTATTGAACCGAATTGTCCCGAACGGAGTGGGACATGTTCTATATATATTCGGGACGGTATCAATTCTTTGATTTTTAAAAGAACCATACTTTGGGACGTGATAGTTTTTGAAATAACGGTCTCACGCTCACCCCTACTTTGTATATATAAATGTATTAGTGAATAAGGAATGCATTTAATTAAGACCATGTGATAATTAACAGTTTTCGTCAAAGTAATTTCTGAATTGTGATTGATAAATGCTTGCAGAGTAATAACAAATCAAACTTTGGGGCCATACTTGGAAGGGTGGCCAACAGGATTAAGAATGCTGAGTTTGTTTTAAACGGAACCCGCTACAACCTTACTCGTAACAGCGGCAACAACTCAGCTCATGGTATGTACCAACTTCAATCCCATGAACTTTTGTTCATGTGATTGTTATCTTTATATATATAAAAAGGGGATCGTGAGGCAAAAAATTGTTCCCTCCCTTTGCAACTGAACGGTTATCACTAATCACTATAGGCATTCTGGACACCACGTGGAAGATTGAGTAAAATTAAATCAAAATACTCTGTATTACAAATTCATCTTATAATAAAGACAATTTATAATAACTGCTATAGATGTGGCGGTTCATCCGAAAATGAAAATAAAACTGCACATGCACATTTTTAGCTGCACGATCTTTATGATCCTATAAATTAGTGCTCTCGAAACTCTATCCGTTTCCTGAAACTACACACTTTTAATATCGATGGCACTAAGGGAGGAAGATTGCAGTATCTCTAGGTATTTGAAATTTACTATCCTTAATACGTACGTAGTACTACGTAGTAGTTAATACACGCACAATTGCTTTTTTGACTTTTTCATGACATGTATTTGTACTTGAAAAACACATGAGGTTAACAGGATTGTTCAGGTTAACATGTGAAATCATAACGATGTTCACCTACAGTATTGAGCACAAGTGGGAGAGAATGAGAGATAGTAGTCCACTACAAGTGGAATAGATCGACCGCTTGGTAGGTATATATATCACTAACTTTAGCATCACAATTCATAGTTGGTCCTGTCATAATACAATCTTGAAGAGGCTAATAAAAATGCGGGTAAATCATACGTATATAGCTTATTCCCAAGCACACTTTCGTTGTTGGTTAAATTTTTGAATACTAATGGTATTAGTTGATTTACTTATTGCCATGTTGATGATAAAAGTTTTATATTGCAGAATTGGTGCTACCACCACTCCAGAGATCACGTTGATCAACAAAATCCATGAACTTCACTTGAGACTTGAGAGTCAACTTGCCGGCATACCACAAAAAAAAGGAATTTTACGAACTCCATGGAATGCATTTTTTGAGATTCTGAGATATTCTGAGATTTTGCATATTTTTTGGAATCATATGTTGGTTGATTGTCCCGTGCATCGCACGGGTACTATACTAGTTGAACTAATATAGTAAGAGTAAATAAGTTGGATTTAGAGTAACAAAAGTATATATGACTAAATTTGATAAAATTGATATGAACAATCATAAATTGAGATAATAGACCTAAATAGGACTCAACAAACCTCTATTTGATATGGACAAATAAGATCATGTTTTTTGTCTTCTCAAAATAGGACTAAAGTATACTCAGTCTTCCTATTCTACCTTTATCATAACTTAATTAATAGGATAATCATATTTTATTTTGTAATAAAAAATAATAGAAAATATTTTAACTTATAAAAAAATCATAAAAAATACAAAACTCTAAAATATTTTAAGAAAATACTACCTATTAAAATAATAAAAATTAAAAAAATTAAAATTTTAAATAAAACCTTAAAAAAGAATAAAAATTAGATAACACACATTAAAAAATTATAAAAAATATGGAATCCTTTCCTGTAGTCTCGGCTACCTCCCAACAATATAATTGCACCTTCGATCGGCAAAAAGATGACATTTTCACTCTTCGAAAATGTCAAAATTTTCTCAAAACTGCCATCAAGATGACAATTTTGACACATGTTGGCATTTTTCGGTGGTCAGAGCTGGTCATGATGGGAGGTTGTTGAGGCGGCATCAAAGTTCTGCATATTTTTTTATGATTTTATGTTTTATATTTTATATTTTAATTTTATGTTTTTTATTTAATAACTTTTTTATTTTAATATATATATTTTTAATTGGTCTTATTAAATATTTATTTTTGTGTTTCTTATTTTTTTAAATTGCTATTATAAATAAATTTATATTATTACTTTCATGTTTTATTTATTAATAAAATATGAATTGTACTGTATTAAAACAAAGCAGGAATAGAATTGGAAAGCTAGTCTTATTTAGGGAATTTCAAGATATTTTGGCAATTAGAATTTCATATAGTCTTATTTGAGAAATTCCCTTGCATAAACTCTTAATGGAATAATTAAGATATTAGTAATAACGTGAAGCTGATTTCAATGTAGGTGGCCTTATGGGATTTAGTAGAGTTGCTTGGAAAATGACGAACCTCAAGCCGAATGGTTCATGCGCATATATTACCTTCAGATATAACAGCTCTAATGGTGATCAAGGTACGCGGCTGGTCATACATACTATTTTAATATGGTACTCTCCTAGCTATATCTAATATCTCTCCCACTTAATATGGAACATCATGCTCGGTGTAAGTTGATTTCTTTATGACAACATCTAAATCAATATTTAAAATATAATATTTCAAATTTGATTTGAAATTGATACTAATTAAAGTATGGAAAGACTATTTAAATTAGAGACAGTTAGTGGAGGGCTAGGGGGTTAATTTGGGGGGCAAGTGCCCCGCTTACCAAATTTACGACCCTGATTTAATACTTAGATAAAAATCGTCCCCCCTACCTGTAAAAAAAAACTATTACATATGGAGATAATTTTGTCAAATAACATATAACAATTGCGAAATGTAAACGACTCAGGAGTTGTGATGAAGCAACTCTTTAATTTATTGTTAACATGTCGTTGATGTGTCACAACACTTTAATAATGTTTGTCCAAATTTAGAAGTCTACCATATGTCAAAAATTCTAATATGTGGGATGAATTGAATAGATTGAAGACTTTTCTCTTGAACAAAATTACATACATGAAAAATGTGTCAATATGCGATAAATTAGTGTCAGACTGATAGATATTATTAACAAGTTGTAAAGTTAGATATATAAAACCATATTATTAAATAAGGTTGTCTGAAGGATGGAATAACAAAGTTGAATTATACTTCATTTTTAACACTGCATGGTAGTATTATATTTTAAACAAGCTAAGTACCAACAAATTTTGTGGCATAGTGTGTAGCATTCAACGTGACTCTAGTTCAGAACTAAAATTTTAACCATTTTATAGTATTAAAATAAAAAGAATTCTAATGCAAAATCATAAACGGTTCAAAGGTGATTCATTTCTAATCCAAATTATGTCTTTGTTTCTGAAAGTCAAATATTATTGTTTAGAATAGATATCCAAAACTAGATCTGTAGTTCATAGATATCCATCGATTGAAATCGACATTGAATAATCTATTTCACATTAAAAATAATAATTTGAACGGACTAGACAAAATAGACCAGTCATGCACCTGTCACTCGATACGGTGAATAAGAATGTGACTTTTTTTATGTCGGGATCGGACCATAGAATCTACCATGGCAAATCAAGTTTGAGTTTAATCGGGACCAGCTTTTCACATTAGCGAAAACAGACAACGGAAGAGTAACTTCACACACATTCTTGATTTCTTGTCAATATATTTTTCTATGTGAATGAGAAAATTACTAAAGATAGGTTATTTTACTAATAACTCATATCATATCCACGGATTAATGCATGTAGGTTTTCCTGGGGATGTTAGAGCGGAAGTGACCTATATTATAAATGAAAATTATCACTTGAGTATAAACATGAAGGCCCAAACTCTGAACAAAGCAACTCCAATGAACATGGCCACACACCTATATTGGAACCTGAATGGCCATATGAGTGGCAATATTTCATCCGAACAGCTGCAGCTATTTGCTTCTAAGATCACTAATGTGGACGAAGAGCTAGTTCCGGACGGTACCTTCTCAGTAGTCAACAACACACCCTACGATTTTCATGAACCCGTTAAGATCGGGACACAACTCGAAAAACTTCCCGACCCAACGAAAGTCGGGTCGGTGCGCGGTTTCGATATCAACTATGTAGTGGATGGGTACCAGGAAAGTGATAAACATAGGATGAAGAAAGTGGCAATTTTGTACGATGAGAAGTCAGGGATAAAGATGGAGTTGAATGCAACTGCCCCGGGAGTTCAACTCTTCACAGCTAACAGCTTGAAGGATAGGAAAGGAAAAGAGGGAGCACTTTACCAGGCATATGCTGGCGTGTGCTTGGAGACACAGGACTTCCCTGATGCTGTGAACCATAAAAATTTCCCCACCACTATAATCACGAAGGATAACCCCTATTATCATTCAATGTCTATTTCTTTCACTACTATGTAGAAAGAATTTGAAGTGTTTTTTAAAGTATGTTGCTATTGAGTTAATTATATTGTGAGTTGTGACCCTGTCTTATATTTGAAATTATAAGAGATTATTATTACTACATTCTTGGTTCTTCTATTAATTATAGCCAAATTCTATATATAGTATAGTATCTTGTCCGCATCGACAACATTTTTCTCTTATGTTGAGAATACGGTGAATACCAATATTTCATGGATCAGTGCAGTCTGCGTGACAATGTTATTTTCGGTAATCGGTAATTATAATCTTCCCCCATCACAAGCAGCATCCTTGATGGTAAAAGCATCCTCAATGAGTGAAATGGTATACAATTAACATGTTTTAAATTTTGACACATGACAATTAATAAATAGAATAGTCATCCACCTCATGTTGGATCAAGTAGAGCGACCTCAATGGTATATGGTTAACATGTTTTAAATTTTGACACATGACAATTAATAAATGGAATAGTCATCCACCTCAGATCATGTTGGAGGGAGGAGACGATCTGGATGGTGCCTACAATGTCTATATTAATATTTAACAGCTCAGCATTAAAGGGAGGTAAACTTAGGAGCCGTTTACTTACTCGTTTAATAAACGGTGCTTGTTTAGGAGCCGTCTTACTAAGCATTGCTTAGTAAAGAAGTGTCTATTAAGCCTGAGTTTTAATAACCGATAACACGTTTACTTCATCAGCCCAAAGATATCTTATATTTTAAAATTACCTAAATAACCTTAAAACCTACTTATTTCATTTCTACTGCTTTATCGGTGATAAAGAAAACAGCTGCTCCTATCTCCATCGAAGAAGCTAAGCCGCTCCCATCTCCATCGAAGAAGCTAAGCCGCTCCCATATCCATCGAAGAAACAACTAGTTGACCATCTCCAGGCCTCCAAGTATTACTTTCTTCTTCTTCCATTTTTCAGTCCGATTTGAACAAGGACCCTCTATACCCCCTATTCGAAATTACACACACATATATAATTAGTTTAAAAACTTTTATCTGTTCAAAACTAGCTATATGTAGTTATATAGATATATCTAGGAGCAAAGTGTAGAGATACGATTGTGGTCAATGATTCTTTTAAATTAGATGATTTGTCTGCTTAGGTGCTTGTGTACATGAATAATATGACAACATGAACTACTTTTGAGTGTTCTTGTGGTGTGTAATTTCAATGTGTGATACCATTTGTTTTTATGGCATATTTGTTCTAACGTATGTATCAAATTGTCAATGCCTTTTGTCTTTTCAATTCATTACAATCTCATTTCTGTTTTTTTAGAATGGAAGAAAGTCATACATCAAACAACCATGTATTAGGGCAAAGTTCTTTAAATTCACAACGTTTCTTAAGGAGAAAGTCTTTAAAATGGTGGTTCAATGCTCAAACATGGTTTATGACGATCATATTTTGGATGTTTGTTTCATTATCCACAAGGCGAAGGCGAACACGGGGTATTCGATATATAATAGATAATCATTCCAAAAGGGAAGGATATTTTAAAAGATTAATACACGGACCTGATCGAATCAAACTGCATTTCCCAATTAAGAATGTGCCGTGCTACTTTTTTCAAGTTGTGTGATATGTTGGTTACAAAAGGTGGGTTGAGACCAACCTGACATTTGATAGTAGAAGAACAAGTAGCTATATTTCTACTTGTATTATCCCATCATCACAAAAATAGAACTTTAATAACTGACTTTCAAAGATCTGGGAGAACAGTAAGCAAATGTTTTTCTACTGTAATACATGCGGTGTTACAACTTCATTCTACCTTGTATGCTAAACCTCAACCAGTTACAATGGAATGCGAAGATGATCGATGGAGACCATTTCAGGTGCATATCTTAATTAATCTATGCACCAATCTATTTGTAACTACCCCGTTATATTTCTTTGTAATACTAATAATTGTAATCTTGCAGAATTGTGTGGGTGCACCGGATGGAACTTATATTGATGTCCATGCATCACCAAAAGATCATAATCGTTTCCGTTCTCGAAAAGTAAGGATTGCTACAAATGTCCTTGGTGTGTGCAATCCACAAATGCAGTTCATATATGTGTTTCTTGGATGGGAGGGATCAGCTGCAGACGTAATAGTTTTGCGTGATGCCCTCACCAGAAGGTTCCGAGTTCCACAAGGTATTAACATTTTCGATACTATAATTAAATTTATGAGGTAAATTAATATAAATATTAAATGTATTCACAGGTTGTTACTATTTGGTTGATGGAGGTTATGCTAATTGTGAAGGATTTCTTGCCCTGTATAGAGGGCAAAGGTACCATTTGTCAGAATGGCAAAATAATTGTCATCCGCAAAATGCACATGATTATTTTAATATGAAGCACTCACAAGCTAGGAATATTATTGAGCGTGCATTTGGATTACTTAAGAATCGATGGGCCATCTTACGTAGTGCCTCATGGTATTCTATACGTATGACCTGTCAGATCATAGTTGTGTGTTCTCTATTACATAATTTCATTCGACGTGAACATGATATTGATCCAATGGAGGATGATGAAATAGAAGAAGAGGAAGACGTAGATGAAGAAGAGGAAGATGAACCTTTTGGGGGGGGGGGCTAACTTAATTCCTACCGAAGCATGGACTACATTTCGAGAGGATTTAGCAATAGACATGTACAATGCTTGGATTTAATCTATTATGTAAGGTAACTTTGGATTTATTTTATCATGTAAGGTGACATTGGATTCTAAGGTAACTTTTGATTTAATCTATTATGCAAGTTAACTTTGGATTTAATGTATTATGTAAGGTGATTTGGATTTGATCTATTGCTTGTGATGATTCTCATATGGCATATTGGGTTGTAAATTATGAACTACTTAGAACACCTTGGGCATTAGCACTAAAGTGTTACTAGTTCAAATAGTAGTTTACTCCAAAAGGAGTACTTTCTGCATCTTTCAGTAGTTAAAATAGTAGTTTGTTTCCGATTTCTAATCTCCAACTCAACAAAAATACAATATCATTTTTGTTATTATCACTAATGGACTAGCTCTGGACTGTTATATCACTGTCAAAGCTATGCTTTCTGGGAAGGTGAGCATCCTATACAAGAACATTTAGATTACAAAAGAAATGTTCATTAAGTGGTGTTCCAATTACAACCAGTGTGAAGCATAAAGCTTGTATATCAGAGAGAAAGAAATTACTACTTGTTACCACTTCCTACAAGGAAACTAGGATGATGTAGGTCTGGATACGATTGTGGTCAATGATTCTTTTAAATTAGAGTTTTTAAATATTAATAACTTGCTATTACATGTAAAAAACTAATTAAATGGTCAAATTGATCGATTTTGTAAAGTAGATGTACTTGTATGATATTTTTTATTAGTACAGAGTCTTAAGTGACGGATTGAAAATAGTAGAAGGACTTATTTGATCCTTTGTCCTGATGTAATTATTACTTTTTATGTGATTCATTTGGTGGAGAACCCTAAAGGAGAAAGAAGAAGTTAATTACAAATAAGAATCCTAATGCTATACCAAATTTCTCACCATTTTCATGTTGATGTTTCTTAATCTTTCTTTTTATATTTTTCCTTTGTTTGCTTGCTTCATGTGTGTTGTGATTCAACTTTAAAACAAAAGTTGGTTTCATGTGATACTTTTACCGGGAGGAATTTCCATTTTTGTACATGGTTTTCAGGTGAATTCACTCCCTATTTTCCGGCGACTTACAGATGTGAGTATGTAGAAAAAGATTGTAGCTGGAGAGACAAGCAAGAGGGAAGAAAAGAAAAGAAAAAAAGTAGCCACAGTGAAGTGCTACAAGTCTAATTTGACTTGCTTACTGGTTCTTTACTAGCTAATATTTCAATTTGAACATTTTTTAAAATTTAGGGGACTTAATTTGACAATTACTTAGTACGAGGACTTTATTGATATATAGTATGAAAACTTATGTGACGGTTTTCCCTATATAAAGAGACAAAAGAGTGCAGTAGTAATCAAAGGATTAATTACACTTTTTAGGTTCTTTTTATATTGTAATATACTTTAATTAGTTATAAAATTCAGGTGTACTTTATGACAAAATTTTACTCATCATCATTATCATTACTCCATTGCTGCAAAGGCTCCCACCTACAGTGGGGTAAGGAAGGTCGGATGTACGAGTCTTACCCTTGTATTAAAGCATAGAGGGACTGTTTCTTGATGACCTATAGTGAAAATCGCTTCAAAATCGCATAGATCGACTGCTGCTTCATAACAATGAAACACAGATAGTTTAGTGAGTCATTTTGCTTTATTTCATCACATTCCCAAGCCAAAAAGATAGTTTAGTGAGTCATTTACTATTTAGGTTTATTTGGTTGTATTTTTTTTATGCACGTCATATTCGTTCTTCCCCCAATAGCTTCCCTTCCTGGATCCATCATTTGTTACATAACTAAATTTGCAAGTGAGTAAAGTTACATGACTAATAATAGACACAACAAAAGTTATGGGATTAAAATTATAAAACTAATTAATTATTAGCGAGTCAGCCCTATTTTGAAAATAAAACCATAAAGATTATTTTTTATGAAGTGGATACTATTTAACCATATTTAAAATGTTTTTATTTAACCATAATTTTTTGTGAAACTACTAAAATGATGGTTATTGGAACAGTTAATAGGGAGTTAATTAAGGAAGTGATACTTTTACTATTCATCTTTGTTGAGAGTACCAATATTGCATGAGTGCATTACATCGTTATCTTCGGTAATTAGAATCTTCCCCCATCGGGTCCTTCTACCGTGCATGTCAAAATTTTAAGGGTACGTTTGGTTCAAGGTAATACTTCATGCAGGCCGGAATCTGATACCCGGAATAAGAGATATCCGTGTTTGGTTCGCGTGCTTAAATTTTTCTCGGGAATGTCACATTCCTTAAAAGAGAATAAAGGAATGAGATGGCTCGTAATGTCAAACCCAACCCTCTCTTAGGTTATCCTACATTCCCTCTTAGTTATATGTTTTCT